GCGGTGACGTCAGCGCGGGCGCCCGCAGGGCGGGGGTGGGGAAGAGCTGGCCCCGCAGTTAGGGGAGGGCGCTGCGTTTGCATCGGTTCGTGTATGGGGGGGGCGGCGAAGGGGCTTGCGAGCTGCGGGAAAGCAAGGTTTTTGTACGAAACACACAGAGTGAGGGTGCGTGTGTAAAAGTGGATGATTGCACGACAGTTTGTACAAATAAGTGATTTTCCAAGGTATCTTCCTTGGGGGTGTGGGAGGGTGAGAAAATGATTTTTTATTTGAAGCTGCGTTTCTCTGCGACAGTTTATGGCCTGTGGTGGGGTCCAGGGAGTGGGTTTGAAGACCTCTGGGGTGCAGGCTGGTTGTCCACTTGGGGTGGGGCCCAGCCCAGGTTCAGAAGCCGACCTTTCCCAAAGCCGAGCAAGGAGAGACCAAGGAGAGACGTGGTGGGGGGTGGGGTGGGGTGGTGAGGGGTGGGTTAGTGAGGTTTTGAAAAGGGGACTTGTCACCGCCCCTGCCAACGAGGGGCCCCCGGAGAGCCTGAGACATCTCGGCTCTGGTGCCGCCTGCCCCCCCCCAACCCCCCCAAACTGGAAGGACAGTTGAAGGAAAGGACTTAGAAAGGCAGCTGGCGGACTAACTGCCGGAAGTCTCCCAGGCTCGCCACCCACACTGCAAACAAACCCACCCTGTGACAACAGACTCCCTTGACAACCAGGAGGGGAAAACCAGGGGGGAGGACGTTCTGCCTCTGGCAGATGGAATCTGCAGGCGTGGCCGGGCCCAGACTGCACCCTGTTCCCGGAAAACTGGTGACTCTCATGTGACCAGCAGTACAGAGGGTGATTATGTGGCAAGCGCTGGCCTGTTCCGTGGTGCATGCTTAACCTGGTTCTTATGCCACGCACATTCCCCCCCAGGACTGTCCTATCGGTCTTTTACTGGTTTGTTTTCCTGTTTTGTGTTTTTTGTTTCTTAATTCCAGACATTGTTGTTCATACTGCCCTGGAAATCACGGTAATCCTCCTGCCTCAACCTCCCAGTGCTGGGACTACAGGCATTTACCACTCTGTCCGCCTTGGTCCCCTTTGCTTCATCCTGGCAACATTTCCAGGCGTGGGTGTGGGGGTGGTGGCTGCCATAGAGAACAGGGAGTTGCCTGTCAAAATGTTCTAGAAAGCCGGAGAGGCTTCCCTGCGGCTTTGCATGCCCAGGCTGTGGAGTCAGCCCTTTCTTTCCGTTTTTGAGGTGCTTAGGCATTGTTCAACCACCTCCGGAGCCCATGGTGTTCTCTTCTGGTCTCAGAAGGCCCTCCCACGCCATTCCTCGTCCCAGGAACAGCCTTTTTAAGACTTATTTTTGGAATGACTAGGCTAATATGTGCCACACACAACTAGGGTTATATAAAGCCTGTTGTTGGTCACCAATAAACAGGGTGCTTGTGTGCCTCACACCTGCAGCTGCTCAGTGACTCTCCCCAGCCCCCAAGGGCAATATGGCAGGTTCAGAGGTTCCTGACCTTCCAGGACAGTTTTCCTTGAGAAGAGAATGTATTTAAGGGGAGAGGTTTGGAGGCCTTGGGGGCCAGGGCTGTGACCATCCTTTCTTGATGGACAGACGGCCTGGGTTCTGCTTGCTTCCTCTTCAGAGATGACCTTCACCGTGCTGAAGGACAAGGGCAGGGCAGCAGCCGCCCAGCCGGTCTCCCCAGATCAAAACAAGCTGTCCTGGAGACTGATGTAAACAGGGCTTTGGGTGGGGCTGCGTGGTGTCCGCCCTGTTTCTACCGGAGCCTTACCATGGGCCTTCCCAGCCAGCTATGGGGTTCTGGGTTGGGGGGGGGGAGAAGAAGGGGTCCTTTTTGTGACATCTGATACCAGGTGGGGGCCACTCTCCAGGCCCTTCCTCAAGGACATGGCAGTCCCCATTGGCCTCGCCATCTTCTTTGGAAGTCAGCTCAACCCTGTTGATTCCAAACACAGGCACAACTCAGGGAAGGACCTCAGGATTTCCCTCAAAAATTCTTGGACTAATGGGAAAGAGGTGATGCTGCTCCAGGCTTGCCCATGCCAGCATTGCTGTTACCGCTAGAGAATATTCTGGAACTCGAGCTACCCGCCCCCTCCATGGATACAGTTCCTGGTCTGCAGCCTCTTGGGCTCCCTTGGGCTTTTCCTGGTGCCAGAGACCACCTTAGCCTGGGCTTGTTCACACTGAGCCCTGAAACGTGGATCAGGAAACTGCGCAGTCACTGTGTGCTGGCAGGAAGCCTGCCTCTCCCAATCTGCTGGCCTTGCGTCAGCCAGAGCCCTGCCCAAGCCTGCTAGGCGCTTCCTGTGTGTGTAGGGGGAGGAATGAGGGGGGGAGGGGAGGGGAGGGGCCTGCACCGCCCCACCTTGCTTTCCCGTCTCTTCCAGAAGCATGCTGTTTTTATGGAAACAGGTCTCACCCGGTGGCTCGGTCACCTTTTCCCTCCACTCCTGCAGGCCAGGGCCACAAAGTCACCACCCTCGGCCCTAGCTACAAATCTGTCCCCCGAACTTGATCCGTGGGGAGTGGGGTTTCTGGGCCCACAGGAGCTCTGGCAGGAGGTAGCCCCCCCCCCCCATGTGGGTGACTTCACAGTTTAGGTTTTCTAAAGGTCACTCTGAATCCTGGGAGGCTCTTGGTAAATATTTGTGGACTGACTTACAAGGACCTCAGGTCAGCGCCACCCCATGATGTGGTGGCGGGCCCTGGTCCTGAGCACCCAAGGCTCAAGGACTGGGGTGGCCAGGGAGAAGGCACTCTGAGAACTCAATGTAAGCAGAAGGGACTTGAGGAGAGGTCACTGGAGGTGGAGGGCTTGGGTTCTGTTGTCCGGGTTTGCAAGGCCCAGGAGACCTGCCTGCTTCGTTCCTGTTCTCCTGGCCCTCTCAGGTCTAAAGGCAGGAAGGAGGGAAGGGGTTCTCAGACAGCAGGAGACTGCTTAGGTGTGGCACCCTGCCTTTCTTGGGCATGTGGGGTCTGTGGGCTCCTCATCTCAAGCCCTTTGCCAGCCTCTGAGGGTTGGCAGCCCTCAGCTAGGCCTCCTGCCGTGACTTGCAGAATGTAACCGGATGATGTCAGCCCCAGGCACTCTTGGGACTGTGTTCCTGGCAGGCCCCACAAACGTTCCCACATTCCGGAGCACTTAGCCTGACCTTGCCCTGGGTTCTTGAGCTCCAGGCCCCCTGGTACGCCCCTTCCTGAACCTTCTCTATGCTCACCTTTCTGTCACCGTGTCCTCCAGAGGGAACTGTGGGGCTCAGCCCACAGGCTTTTTACCCTGGGTCCCCAATAAACCCCCATGACCCCTCTGGTGCTTACCTACTGACAAGGCCTGGCTTTCCTAGGTTCCTCAGCTTGCCCTGTGTGCCCTATCCCAGCCTCCTCCCCAGTCCACACACCGCTAATCCTGGCAGCGGGTTCCTCTGGGGCCCTCTGCTGACACCCAGTCATATCTCCCCGCACCCTCCAAAAACCCCACCCTCTTCTCCAGGACCAGCTGTGTGCACACAGGGCATCCTTAAACGGACATGTCGTCAGCCCAGGACGTGCTTGCCACTCTAGGGACCACGCACCCTGGCACACTAGACTGTCCTTGAGCCTTCTACAACCCGCTGTGGTCTGAATGCCATCCATGAACAATCAGAGCCAGGGCTTCTGCCAGTGCCCAGCAGGCCGAGTGAAACCCCCTGCTGACCCCGACGTCCTATAGGAGGCCTGTCTTCAAGGCTGAGGGTGTCAGTGGCCCGCACTGACACCCCCACCCAGATGCCGGTGGCAGGAGACAGAGAAGTCCTAGAGAGGAGGTGGGATTATTGTAAATCCTTTTTGTGTAAAATAATTTAAATCTGGGATCAAGGGAGTTCCTCAGTGGTAGAGTGCCTACCGGGATTCACAAGGCCATAGGTTTGATCCCTGGCGTTATTAGAAATGAAATAGCTGGAGGGTTCAGTAGGTGGGGCGTGGAGAGGCCTGACTTACAGAGGGCTGACAGCTGGGAAACCGGAAGGCGTGGGGTGGGTGGGCTTGAGACAGCCGCTCCTGTGGGAACCGGGTGGAACACGGCGGGGGTGTGTGTGTGGGTGTGGGTGTTATGCCCACGGTCTGCCCACCTCTGGAGTTCCCCAGACAGTCCTGCTGGCTTTGAATATTTTGACCGAGTTGTTATTTTACAGAAAAACAGGTTCCAAAGCAGAAGCCATTTCAAGGTCCTGGATCCTGGGGTTCTTGGATACCTGGGTTCTAGAACCCAGAGGCAGGAGGAAGGTCCTGGCCATCAAGAGTCAGAGAGTGTGCTCCAGTAGGTGTTCTGTACCGGGAGGCACACCTCTGTTTCCTGAGGCTTGGACAGGCCTAGGCCAGAAATGCTGGCTCACGCGGCCTGAGGCCCAGCAGAAAGAAAGGGAGGACTCGGCTGCCCCCTGCTGGTCACAGCTGAGCCGGCTGCTTCTCTCAGGGCACAAGAAAGAGGGGTCATCCATCCCTTGGCACTGGACTTGCCGCTGAAAACTGAACCTGTGAGACCCGGCTCAGCCCTGTATCTCAGCTCTGGATGCAGCTGGGTAACCCATCTGTGTTCTCTGAAATGTGGGGTGGGACAGGGTGGAAGTATCAGGGACGCGGATGGGCAGTGAGAATCTGTCCTGAAATCTACTCTTCTTGGGTCCAGGCTGCTCGTGTCTGCCAGGCTCCAGGCCAAAGCCAGGCCTCCTTCGTGAGCTCTCTGTTCCATTTACCTTGAAGCTGAGCTCGGGGGTGGGGTGGGGAGGGCAGATGTCCTCCCGGAAGTTGCGTTGGTCACCGATCCTTTTCTGGTACCTCTTCCTGTGTGTCCCATGTTGGATGCCGCTACCTCGTTTGTCAACAATGTCTTGTGTGTTCCTGGTGATCTGTGCCCCACCTCTACCCACTTCCCCTAAAAGTTAACTGATACACGCCCCCACCCCCTCTAGACAGCTTGGTTGTAGACTGACTTTTCTTCAAGCGCTGGGGTCACCTCTGCTCTCCTCTTCCCAGCATTTTTTTTTTTTTTTTTTTTTTTTTTTGCTTTTTGAGACAGGCTTTCACTGTGTAGCTCTGGCTGTCCTGGAACTCTGTAGACAAAGCTGGCCTCGAACTCCCAAGTGCTGGGCTTGAAGGCATCTGCCACCAGGCCCAGTGAGCTGCACCCTCCTTGAAAAGTATTTAGAAGCCTGAAGTCAGGCATGGTAGCATATGCCTATCATCCCAGGAGGCTAACAGAACCAAGAGTTCAAGGCCAACCGAGTGGTGGTACCTTTAATCCCATTAAAAAAAAAAGATCAAGGTCAGTCTGGGCAACTTATTGAGACCCTGTCTCAAAAATAAAAAAGGGCTGGGGCTGAAGAGATGGCTTAGCATAAAGAGCACTGGCTGCTCTTCCAGAGGCTTCTGGCTCAGATCTCAGAACCCACATGGCCGCTCACAACCATTTGTAACTAGAGTCGCAGGGATCCAGTGCCCAAGAATTGGGCACTCGGCATGCACTGTAAATACACGCAGGCAGAGCACCCGTACAGGTAAAATAAATCTGAAATAAGGGTGTTTCCAACTCAGTGGTAGGCACGTCCCCTTCGCTGGGCCGCCATGCATGACAGAGTTTATTCTTTTTTTTTTTTTTTAAAGATTTATTATGTATACAGTGTTCTGCCTGCATGTACATCTGCACGCCAGAAGAGGGCACCAGATCTCATTACAGATGGTTGTGAGCCACCATGTGGTTGCTGGGAATTGAACCCAGGTCCTCTGGAAGAGCAGCCAATGCTCTTAACCACTGAGCCATCTCTCCAGCACCCGAGAGTTTATTCTGGTTGGGTTTGAGGGTACAGTCCACTGTGGTAAACATGGGGGCAGGAAGGAGACAGTTGGTCATACTTGTGTCCAAAGTCCTAAATTAGAGATGAACCAGGCTTAGCTTGCTTTCTCTCTCTGTTTTTCAAGACAAGGTTTATTTGTGTAGCCTTGGCTGTCCTGGAACTCACTCTGTAGACCAGGCTGGCCTCAAACTCAGAGATCCGCCTGCCTCTGCTTCCAGAGTGCTGGGATTAACGGTGTGCGCAGCACCCCGCCACCCCCCCCCACCCCCCCACCCCCGAACTGCTTTCTCTTTCTTATCAGACACCTGTTAGGTAGCAGTGTGTGAGGCGGTGGCCAGGGTCTGAAAACTCCTGAGGGAACTGGCCACACTGGAATCATTCCCCATGCAGGGTCCCCCCAAAGTCCTCCTTGGCTATCTCAAGGATGCCTGGAATTGACCTGGGCTCCAGACCCTCAAGTTAAGCCACCTTTAGCATTCAGCCTCTCATTTGTGTTCTGTCTCCACTGCTCTGTCAAGGCAGAGCCGGTCTAGGACAGGGTGGGGTACAACGCTCTCAACCCTGTCATCAAGTAGTTGGGAGAAGAGAGCTTCGAGGTCTTGTGTGGTTCCTGTGTGCATGGAAGACATATTTTGCATTTATACCATGCAACAAGAGACCTGGATTAGGTCCTTGGGCAGACACTGAACTGAGCTGGAGTCACGCTCTGCCAAGGTTTTCAGACGACCATGGGCCAGAAACTCCACATGGCCAGATCCCTCTCACCTGGTCACTGGCCCCTTTGCAAGGCAGCCAGTCCAGCCAGTGAAGGGAGTGTGACAGAGCCTGGTCAGAGACAGTTAGAGTGAACTGTTACTGGGTATGGTGGCATACACTTCTAACCCCTGCACAGGGAGGTAGATACTGGCTGATCAGAATTTGAGGGTAGCCTGATCTGCATAGTGATTCCAGGCCAGCCAGGACTACATAGTAAGACCCTGTGTTATGAAATAATCCTTTTGTACACTGTGAAGATGTGTCACTCTGTTTGGTTTAATAAAAAGCTGAATGGCCAATAGCCAGGCAGGATTTTCAGGCACACAGGATGCAGGGAAGAAGGGCGGAGTTGCAAGGAGACATGGAGGAAGCATGACAGGTAGGAGGTGAGGTAGCAAGCCACGAGCCAAGTAGCAGCACGTAAATTAATAGAAATGGGATAAGTTATAAAAGCTACTGAGCTGGGTGAGCTGCAGTGGCGCATGCCTTTAATCCCAGCACTCCGGATGCACAGGCAGGTGGATCTCCGTGAGTTCGAGGCCAGCCTGGTCTACAAAGGGAGATCCAGGACAGGCACCAAAACTACACAGAGAAACCCTGTCTTGAAAAGCCAAGAACAAAACAAAACCAAAACCAAACAAACAAACAAAAAACCCAAAAATAAAAAAACAAAAACCCCAGCTAGTAAGCCTGAGCTATGGGTGGAGCTTTCATAATTAATATGAAGTCTCTGTGTGGTTGTTTGGGAGCTGTCTGTAGGACAGAGACTTGCCACAATACTGCCTCAAAACAAAGGGAAGGGGACTTTGTAGACTATCCAGGCAGTATAGAGGATGGAAGAGAGACAGGTGGGCACAGTGATGCCCTCCAAGAAAAGAAGTCTCTGAACCCTGGAGCCTCTAGTTCTTCCAGGTTACCTGGCTCTAGTATTGTCAACCTGACAAACCTCTGAGCATGCTTGTGAACGAGGCAGTTTCTAGATCTGCCTAGGTGAGGTGGGTGGGCAGCATCACCCTATGGACTGGGGTCCCAGAGCGAATAAAAGGAGAAAGCAAGCTGAGCACTAACTAGTGTGCATCTGCTTCCTGACTGGGTGTGACGGACCACTGCTCCAGCTTCTGCTGCCCAGTTCCCTCCATGACCGGCTGGACCCTGAAACTGTGAGCCGAACAAACCCTTCCTTCCTTAACTTCGAGGTCAGGTATTTGGTCCCAGCAACAAGACAAGTAACCAATCAAATGTCCAAAGGCAACTGAAGCTATCCAGCTGCTGACCACAGGGACAGCGCCCTGTCCCAGCATCGTCACAAGGCCCCCAATCACAGAAAGATTGGCAAGTGGAAGGTCAGAGTATGTGAAGTGATGTAAGGACTGTCTGTCAGCACTAAATCTAAGAATGACGGGGCCAAGAGCAAAGGCATGCAGTGTCTCGGACACTGAAGTTAACTAAGTGTCCTAGAGCCTCAGGAAGACTGTTCCCTGCCCACACCTTCAGTTAGCTCATCAAGACTCTGCTTTCCAACCTGCACAATTATGAGGTACTGAAAGGCTGGACTGAGCCACTGTGGTAATGGTGATGTCACAGTGGCAACAGGAAATTGACGCTGGTGGCAGAGAACTGTTGTGGAATATTAGTTTAAGATGTTACACTCATTTATGCTGTGGAACATTTGTTTATGCTGCAAAGATGTGTTGCATCTTTTATGTTGCATTTGTTTAGCTGCATTCTGTGAAGCTGTGTTACTTTGCCTGCCTAAAACACCTGATGGTCTAATAAAGAGCTGAACAGCCAATAGTGTGGCAGGATAAAGGATAGGCGGGGCTGCCAGGCAGAGAGGATAAATAGGAATGAGAAGAGGAGAGGAGGACGCCAGGGGTCAGCCACCCAGCCACCCAGCCAGCCTTGGAGTAAGAAGGAAAAAAAGGCCGTTTGGTGGCGCACGCCTTTAATCCCAGCACTCGGGAGGCAGAGCCAGGTGGATCTCTGTGAGTTCAAGGCCAGCCTGGGCTACCATGTGAGTTCCAGGA